CGTGCGTGTGCGTGTGCGTGCGCGTGCGTGGTGTGCGTGTGCGTGGCACGTGTGCGTGTGCGTGTGCATGTTGCGTGGTGTGCGTGTGCGTGTGCGTGTGCGCGTGCGTCGTGCGTGGTGTGGCGTGTTCGCAGTGCGTGTGCGTGCTGCGTGTGCGCGTGCGTGTGTGCGTGTGCGTGTGCGTGTGCGTGTGCGTGTGCGCGGTGTGCGCGGTTGCGTGGTGTGCGTGTGCGTGTGCGTGTGCGTGTGCGTGTTGTGCGTGCGCGTGCGTGGTGTGGCGTGTTCGGTGTGCGTGTGCGCGTGCGTGTGCGCGTGCGCGGCGTGGTGTGCGTGTGCGTGTGCGTGTGCGCGTGCGTGTGCGCGTGCGCGGTGCGTGGTGTGCGTGTTCGCGTGCGTGTGCGCGTGTGTGTGGGTGTGTGGTCGAATTCTGTGACACCAGCTCTGTACATTTGTTTAGAGCCATATTGGAGAATCATCACGCAGCGCATGCCTTCCGAGTCACGCTGGACAGATGATTCGTGCAATATCTTCAAGAATCTGCCCATGTAAGCATCTCCGCGTTGATGGGAACCCGGTGTATACTGTTCACACGCGATGTCAACCACACCATACATGTCAGGAGTAGATAATAGGGGATATGGGGATATTTCCCTATTATCTACTCCTGATACATGTACACCTCTCGGTGCACAGAGTCAAAGCGTGTCCGTAGAGACGTATGGAAAGCGTCGACCAGCCCTAGAAAAGTACAGTAGTGTAGAGTAGAGTGTAGTAGTATGGTAAGCGTATAGGGTAATAGCGTATATGGTATAGCGTATAGGGTATAGCGTATATGGTATAGCGTATAGGTATAGCGTATTGAAAGCGTCGACCAGCCCTAGAAGAGTACAGTAGTATAGAGTAGGGTGTAGTGGTATATAGGTACTGGAATACGCGTGTTGGTTTCTTCTAATCTAGGCGGTTCTACACGGTGTGTCTGTTTGTGAAGGGATGAATACAAGCAGCTTCGTGAGATCATCGTCGATATGGTACTCGCCACGGAGATGACGAAACACTTTGAGCACGTGAACAAGTTTGTGACAAGCATTAACACATCTCGTGTAACTGACGACGACAGAAGCTCAGTGATGGTGAGTGTAGCAGCTTCCTTATATAGCACTCTACTCGGAATCCTCGCGCATTGGTTTTTCTCACGATATAGTCGTGTTTAGTGTGCTCCATTTCACACAAACAGTGATAATATATATATAAATATATAATCATAATATATATAATCATAATAATATATTATAATTACCTGAAACGTGAAAAACTGAGTTGGGTTATTCCATCTTCAGTCTTACCAAGCAGTCGAGCAAGATTAACGAGTCTACTGTCTGTATTTGTGTGAGTGTAGAGCAGCCATCTGGGGCATGAGGTGGATCTCATGTCATCAGAGAACCGAGCTCTTGTGAAGCGAAATGATCATCAAGTGTGCAGACATCGCCAACCCATGCCGTCCGTCGCCCTGTGTAAGGAGTGGGCGACTCGCATTGCTGAGGAATACTTCAGACAGGTGGGAGAAGAAGAAAAAGAAGAAGAAGATGATGATGATGATGATGATGATGATGATGATGATGAAGAAAAACGCTATTTTATGTCTCGGCTTGTGTGTGTGTGTGCGTGTGCGTGTGTGCGTGCGTGCGTGTGTGCGTGTGCGTGCGTGCGTGCGTGGCGCGCGCGCGCGTGTGTGTGTGTGTGTGTGTGTGTGTGTGTGTGTGTGTGTGTGTGTGTGTGTGTGCGTGCGTGCGTGCGTATGTGCGCGTGCTCACCTAATTAGTTCACTTATTCTTGTGCACGCACGCACGAACACACACACACACACACACACACACGCACGCACGCACGCACGTACGCACGCACGCACACACACACGCACACAAGCCGAGACATAAATAGTGTTTTTTCTTCATCATCATCATCATCATCATCTTCTTCTTTTTCTTCTTCTCTTCCCACCTGTCTGAAGTATTCCTCAGCAATGCGATTCGCCCACTCCTTACACAGGGCGAGCGGACGGCATGGGTTGGCGATGTCTGCACACTTGATGATCATTCGCTTCACAAGAGCTCGGTTCTCTGATGACATGAGATCCACCTCATGCCCCAGATGGCTGCTCTACACTCACACAAATACAGACAGTAGACTCGTTAATCTTGCTCGACTGCTTAGGTAGACGACTGAAGATGGAATAACCCAACTCGAATTTTCACGTTTCAGGTAATTATAATATATTATTATGATTATATATATTATGATTATATATTTATATATATTATTATCACTGTCTGTGTGAAATGGAGCACAACACTAAACACGACTATATCGTGAGCAAAACCAATGCGCGAGGATTCCGAGTAGAGTGCTATATAAGGAAGCTGCTACACTCACCAGCACGGAGCTTCTGTCGTCGTCGGTGACACGAGATGTGTTAATGCTTGTCACAAACTTGTTCACGTGCTCGAAGTGTTTCGTCATCTCCGTGGCGAGTACCATATCGACGATGATCTCACGAAGCTGCTTGTACTCATCCCTACACAAACAGACACACCGTTAGAACCCGCTAGATTAGAAGAAACCAACACGCGATATTCCAGTACCTATATACCACTACACCCTACTCTATACTACTGTACTCTTCTAGGGCTGGTCGACGCTTTCCAATACGCTATACCCTATACGCTATACCATATACGCTATACCCTATACGCTATACCATATACGCTATACCCTATAAGCTATACCATACTACTACACTCTACTCTACACTATTGTACTTTTCTAGGGCTGGTCGACGCTTTCCCATACGTCTCTACGGACACGTTCGACTCTGCACCGAGAGGTGTACATGTATCAGGAGTAGATAATAGGGAAATATCCCCATATTCCCTATGATCTACTCCTGACATGTATGGTTGCGGTTGACATGCGTGTGAACAGTACACCGGGTTCCCATCAACGCGGGAGATGCTTACATGGGCAGATTCTTGAAGATATTGCACGAATCATCTGCCAGCGTGACTCGGAAGGCATGCGCCGCGTGATGATTCTCCAATATGGCTCTAAACAAAATGTACAGAGCTGGTGTCACCGAATTCGGCTACACACCCACACACACGCGCACACGCACGCGAACACGCACACCACGCACGCGCACGCGCACACGCACACGCACACGCACACGCACACGCACACGCACACGCACACGCACACGCACATGCACACGCACACCACGCACACCACGCACATGCACACGCACACGTACACGCACGCGCGCGCACATACACACACACACACACATGCACACACACACACACACACACACACACG